ATTTTTGTATAACTTTTTGGCCAAAAATAGTAGCTTATTTTTGGCCATATATAGTAATTCAAAATAGGTGCAAACCTCTTTTAATATGGTTTGTGTGACTAATCTAGTATTAGCTTTCTGGTTATGAAACAAATTTCAAACCAGTGTAACAAAATACTTCTGGGTGTTTATAAGATAGCTAGAAGATGTTAGGCCTAGATATTAAGCTTAATATTATATAATCTACTTATATAATAATCTTAATAAAGGATCACTAGCAAGGTTGCCAAAGATTAAAAAAAAAATAATAATAATAATAAATAATTAATATTTTCTATTATTATATTCAAACAAACTACCTCTTATTTATATTTTATAAATTCTTAATAAAGTACTTATCAACAACTTTCCTTGACAATTATTTGGACCAACTGTTTCCAACTAATTTAAGTTGAAAAATTCGAAGTTAGATATCTAAAACTACCCAAGTTTCCTCTTTTAGTCACTGTTGACGAAGTCTTTAATGTGATACATCGAGGAGCGAGCATTAGAGAAGCAGTTTTTAGGTTGGATCAAGCCTTTTCTTCTCTTCAGTGGACTTCTTTCTATATTCAACATCCAAGCCAGAAGGTTTATTCTGGTAGTAATTAATAAAAAAGAAACTTTGGATAGTAAGAAAAGAAAAATAAAAAACAACCTAGAAAGCACTCACTACCATTGAACTTTGCAAAATCTTTATACTCTTTTGCCACTCTTTTTTTCAAATTTTTGATAAAAAGTGAGGATTTGGCTACCTCCTCCAAAAGATCAACAAGAGATTGGTATTGTTTATCACTTCTGCTTTGAAAGTCTTGAGTTGCGATATAACGAATTAGAAAAACAACAAAACACATATAAGGAGAAAGTTTTGAGGCTGAAATTAAAATCGATGATCACATGTCAAGACTTTAAAGTTAAATATTCTAGAACCTGAGCTAGATTTTATTTGAAAGTTGTAACTAGAACACTATATGAAATATGCAATATTTTGAAGTCATATACATATAATTTTTAGCCTTTAGCACAGATTAAAATACATTTTAGTTTATTTTTATGCCAGATAACTCTATGTATAGATTTTTACAACTATATAGATAGTTTTTACCTAGTTAACAGATTTTTATATCTGTAGACAAGTTCTCTTGGATTTTAGAATAGTCTTTTAACTCCTTTATGATTTGGTCATTTTCTTTATATGGTTGTTTTTTTTGTATTTACTCTATTTTTGTCCTATATTTACTTTTTTTTTTCTTTTTTACTTCTCTATGAAAAAGTGTCATCTGATTGGCAACACTCTATTGTAAAGCGGTGATTCTAACAAAAGCGGTAAAAACATTTATTGATACTGAGGCTCAAATCCTCAAAAAGTTGAAGATTCTAGTAAAGGAAAATATTTACTTAGGCAAGTTGCTCCTAGGTCATACTCTAATATTTAATTCTGGTTCGCTAGAATTAGATTGCGATAATAAAACAAATCGAAAGATTCTTTATTTGGACAGGTGTAAACAAATTTATAATAGATAATGTAGGCTTAGCTAACTGAATATCTATTTATAATCAGTTGCTGATTTATAAAATAAAAGAAGAATTGCTGAAGTAAAAAAAAAGTAAAAAAATAAAGTACTTATACAATCTAAATTAAAACTTACTAAATTTGTATAATTTTTTTTTTTCACTTAGACAAAGTCATGCCAGTAATTTTTGTTTATTAAAGCTCATTTCGTAAAAGATGCAATACAATAAAACTTTGATTCTAACATCCTGTAGTTACCTCATATAATCTAACTGATTACCTACACGTACCTACAGGTGACCTGCTACACCACAGAGGTAAGATCAATTAAGATAATACTCTAGACAAAGGGCTCATCCAACTACTGCCCTACAATAGGATATTGTCAATCTGATAACATCTTCTTATAGAGAAGTAAAAGAAAAAGAAAAAACCATTTTATAAAAAAAATAAGAGATATAAGAGAATACAATAAAAGATACAAACAAGAAAATAAAGGGTAAAAGAAAAAACGAAAAAAGAAAAATATAGGATATACTCACAACAGATGATCACAATTATAAGCCTGTGTCAGGCTTTGTAAAAATTATATATTATACTATTTAAACTAGTCTCTACTCTAATCTATATAATTAGTATATCTAAGCAAAAAAACTGTAGAAGGCAAAAAATCAGCTTCTTTGATATCGTTACTATAAAGAAATCAGAAATCCATACTATTAGTCTTGAAGTATTGTTTATTTGAATTGTCACTTCCGAAGCATGTAATCTATATATTCACATTCTATGCATATCCACATATTTGTTATGACAGGAAAAAGTAAACAATGCTGACCAATTTGATAAGTAAACAATATGTCAATCTTTTGGAGGGGGTAAACTAAATTATCTACTTTTTTACAAAATTTTTCTTGAAAAAAAAGCAGAGTTAACGAAAATATGTAAAGTTCTTCTATAAATTTTATAGTTGTATAGACAATTCTTCAAGTTTCAACCATCTTAGCAAGAGTCTTTTGACTACTACTTGTTTCTCGAATAGCCTTTCTGGTTTGGATTCTGAATAACTTAGAGAGTTTGTTCAATATAGCAAAAACTTGACTCCAAGAAAACTGTCTAAGTTACACCTACTCCTCAGTGTATCACGTCTTCTAGACTTTATTGACAACAATCTACACTTAAGTAATATTAGTTCTCAGAAAACCCTTCTGATTTGGATGCTGAATAACTTAGGAAGTTCACCCCCAAGAAGAAGAAGGCTTGACCTCAAAAAAACTATTTAAAGTATGTCCACTCCTTGGTATTTCATATTTTTAAGCTCCATCGACAACTGTATTACTTTAAGGTAAGACTGAGAAGTATCTTTCTTGGTGTTTCTATATTGTTTTTCTGTAGTTCGGTTTGCTATTATTGTTGACCAGAGGATCGTTGGAAAAAGTTGGTTATTTTATTGTAAATTTGTATAAATACAGACAAATCTAGTAGTAATTTGAACTAAGAAAATTTTTCTTAATTGATTAACAAAATTAAATTATTTTATTTAACCAATTGCTAACCATTTAAATTAACTATCTACTATTATTAGAAATTCTTAAAACTTTACTTAAATTTTTATTTTATCTTTATATTTATTCATTTTCTTTCAAAACTTTTTGAACTCTTACTTCCTCCTTACATTATTTTTATACTACACCAACTAATTATCAATTCTTAAACAGTGATATCAAATTAACTAATTACAATTAACTAATTATAGCCCAACCAATTCAAATCACTAGTTTTAACAACTCTAGTAGGTTTAGATTGCAGATAATCAAAATTTCTAATTTAAATAGTTTTTGATAATCTGAATCTTATTCTTGTAAAAAATTTTATAAATCAGCTCTGGCCAGAAGAACTACTAGTATATCCTCAATACAAAATATTAATAAAATAAAAACAAAACCTCACCTTAAAAAAAATAAATAAAAAAATAAAATATAGATGCTTAGTTACAAAAAATCATATCCAACTCTTCAACTCAGATAGTAGAAAATTCTAAAATCAATAACTCAAAAAACAAAAAAATTTGAATAATTTTCTTACCTGAAAATGAAAATATAACTATAATAAGAAAAAAACTATGATTTTATAGCTTCTTTATCTGATCAAAAAATTCTAACGTTGCTGCTCTATAAAGTTGTTTTTATAGATCTTTTTTAAATAAAGTTTATCGTTATCATTATCTGTATAACGCAACAACTGTCATGTGATTTTTTTTGTAAACGAGTAAAATTCTAATGTTTTTACGATATAAAGACATCTTTTATTAAGCATCTTGTTTTTATAGAATTAAAAAAAGGACTTAATTGAGGCATGGCCTCACCTTTGAAGATTAAAAAAAAAAAAAAAAAAAAAAAAAAAAGGAAGCGATGAGCTTATATATCGCATTTAATGACCGACCAATCAAATTTCAAGATTACGTGTAACGTAGCACGATCAGAAAATTTCAAAACAACGTTCGTTAAAAGGTGCTTATACTATCTTTCGCGATATAACAAAAAAAATTTCTTGCAAACTTTTACTATAAGATCTTTTTTACACCCTAACCTTATCTAACTCTAAATCCAAACTAAACATCAAAGCTCTTTTTTTTATTTTAAGACGACAATTTATTTATAATTTGTATATAATTTGTATATACATGCGATGTATAAGCGGGGTGCGACTAATATATTTATCCTTAAAAAAATATTAATATTACGGAGGAATTAAAAGCGAAATGCAGATCATTGAATTTTATTATCATTTATAAAAAATCTTAATTAGTGATCAACACTACATCATCTGGATATGTAATTAGATCCATCTCAATTATTTATGCAAAATATCGATACGTAGTAATGTAATTATTACGATTGTGATTTCTATATTAAAAACAGGGCCTGTTGAGTGACTTTTAGAATACCTGGTGTAATGGATCATTATTGGGGTGGGTATGTTGTCAATAGGGTGTGCGAGATCGTCAAAAAGTGGAATAATTCTAAACCTAAATTTTCATAATCAAATAATATCTTGCTTGACATTTTTGATGCCATTTAAATATACACCTTATAGAAATATAAATAAATTCGATCAGTGAAAAATTGATTTCTGGAATTTGTTTTTATTATGAATAGTAGTTATCAGAAGTATCTCGTAACTTTATTGAAAATATATCTAATTCATGTGTTGCAAATAAAAGAGACTAGTTTTTTCATCATGTTGATATAATGCAGTATTGCAACACTCAAATTTAAAATTTATCTAAGTCACAAAATATTAAAGAAAACAGGAAATATTCACATACACCATCTAACCATGAAGCAAGAATTCTCATTGAATAATAAATTTACATAATTAGTAGAAGAATCACAAAGCTCTTATGACATTATTATATATACTAAATACATTAAAATGATTGTGAAAACTGATGAAGATGAATGTCTGAAGGCTACCAATCTTCTGCCTCTTTTTTCTTTCTCGTGCTTTATGCCGCAAAAATAAATTTAAATTATGTGAGCATTTATCTTTAATATATATACTACTATTGCAAGAAAAAGACTACAACTCATATATAAGCGATACCCACCTCCGTCTTGATTTTGAAGGCCGAGGACCAGCAGGCGGTACATAGACATCATCGTCGTTATTCCTATTGTTGAAAAAATACCGCTTAATGTATATTATATAATGTAAATAATCTATAATATTAATTTACTTTTTCCGAGCTCTTCGTTTCTTAGGTTGTGGAGGTGCCGTATCGACATCAGGTTCATCAGCACTTAAGATAACTTCCATATCATTGTTGCTAGCTCCGCCTGATGATGGACCTTCACCACCATCTGCAGTTTCCACAGGGTCCGGTATGTTTGCAACAGTATCCTTTAAAAAATCGAATTGTTCGGTTGTCATTATTGTTTTTTTTCTATTACATTAAGTATAGTATTAGAACGGGATTTAATAAGTTAATAATAAGGAAATTTGACGCGATTTGAATCACGAAGTTTGAAGTGATTTAGAGAGCCAATCAAATTACTTACAAATGAGAAACAGACATTCGTTTTGCATTTCTTGCTCTTGTTTCTTGACATGCATGGTCAATCAGAGACTGCATGAACAATTCTAAAGCTTTTGCTATCATATTTTGAAAAGAAAGATTTAATCAATATGTTAAGATTGGGATAGTAAAGTATAAAAGACAATTCGAATTTCTATTAAAATACTTACAAATCAACACCGGTGTGGCTTGCGCAACCTTGCCTACATCCTCATCCATTTGCATGATCTTTTTGATGCGAGCCTTTAAATTCAAATACAATCAAATGAAATTCAAATATCATAATAGAACAAATTAGTTATAACTAGCGAAGACCTACCACCGGAAATTTGGTTTTATACTTCTTTCTCATCATGTGGCCAAATTGATCGAAGAAAATTAATAGCCTTGTGTTAAATGTAAAGAAGCTATTCTAGCAACTATACGGCTCAACGTCTTATTGATCGTAATTTTTCTCAAGCAAGATATTATGTTAAACTATATCCTTGTACGTATGAAGCACTGAACTTTTTATAACGGTTTATTTGTTTTTGTTAGTTGCATGAATGACATTCATTGAACGTTATCGTTATGGAATAGCAAATCATGTGATGACAATAATCATTGGCCGACACTATAGTTAAGGTTAGCGTTAGTATTAGAGTATGGCAGAATTAGTAATTAGATCACGTGTTTTGTTGTGCCGGTAGCGCAAAATATTACTTTTTGATACATCTAAACATACTCCAAAGCCAACCAATAAGATTGTATTATTATAGTAAAAGTTTAGAAATTTTAAGGTGTAGGTGCAGGAGTATCAAAAATGTATGTTTTGTGCCGGTAGTAATTCCCATTTTGTGCCGGTAGCAATTCTCAAAAAAATTCTATTCTGATGCACGTGCACTGAAAAAAATTTTTTTTTATATAATAAATCATTAAATTTAATTTTGTTTCTTCCCCCTCTGCCATCTATTATAAATTATTTACTGCACAATAAATGTATGTGTATTTTTATAGAATAATAAATTTATATTTAAATATGATGTTTCGTTAAGAGCATAAGAACATCTACTTTATTACATAAAAAAAAAAAAAAATTAATGAACTAATGAACGATGACAAAGATTGATAATGTTTACATTTTCTTTAGAAAAATTAGTGAACAATGGCCGTAAAAAAAACAAAAAAATCAGCCGAATCTATTAATTCTCGCCTACAACTTGTTATGAAAAGTGGAAAATACACTTTAGGGTATAAATCTACACTTAAAACTTTACGCCAAGGCAAAGGTTCGTGATTAAGATGTCACTTCAAAGTCAACTCATTGATATGATCTACACAAATATAAAAAGGGGCAGGAGCCAAATTTGTGTTTGTTGTGTTCTTGGCAAAGATAATCCCTTTTTATTTTGTTATAGTACTAACCCGAACTTCATTATTGGGTCATTAGCCAAACTTGTTATCATCTCTGGCAATTGTCCACCTTTGAGAAAGCATGAATTGGAATATTATGCAATGCTTTCAAAAACTTCAGTACATCACTATGCTGGCAGTAAGTACCTAATCCTTCCAAAAAGGTGTTAATCCCTTCGTTAATAAAATTATATATTTTTTTTCTCGAATTCAATAGACAACATTGACCTTGGTACTGCTTGTGGTAAATATTTCCGTGTTGGGGTTTTAAGTATCACAGATGCAGGTAACTTATAATACGATTCTATTTGCTGGAATATATTACATTTTTCGGTATTAGTATGTAATGGTAACAAATTACATCTTTTATAGGTGACTCGGATATTCTTTCTAGTTCTTCCACTTAGAGTAAAAACAATTTTTAGTCAGTCATACGCCTCTTTTACTATATGGTTTCTTACTATTTTCATTATTCGAGTATACAAATGTGTTATGAATGGTAAAAATCATCAAAAATAAAGTAATGGCTCATTCTATCAGTGTACGAGTATTCTGTTTTCAGTTATCATCATAAAAGGAATCATAGCAACTTCGACACAATGCTTATAATTTCAACTTTTTCTTGATGTTACCATCTTCATCTTCGTTCTTGACTTCGTTTCCATCTTCGTTCTCGTCTTCGTTTCCATCTTCATCATCTTCGTTCTTGTTTTCATCCTCATTTTCGTCTTCATCTTTGTCTAACGGCATAAAACATGTTCCGAGTGGCGGTTGTCCTTCCATCCTCTTGAAGGCGTACTTGTACACCCTATAACCACTTTTTCCTATACTTTCCCACCATTTTTCAACGGTGTAAAGGCCGTCATACCTATACCTGATAGTCGCAAAATGTAATATATAGATCAGATTTTCAGTTAAATTAAATTATAGCTGATATTTACGAATACTTGCCCTTCTTGCGGTGCATATTCATTGTCTAAACGGAAACCCCTATTCAAATTGTATATTATTTATCAAGTTATCAGAAGCCTTAAAAAATATAATGTACACTCACCGAATTACACGAATAGGTCTTTTTGTTTCGCAAGAGATTTTTAGAGCAAGATTACCCGCAACTAATTCTTGATCCTTCGACTACAAACATTAAAAACAATGCAACGGTAATGTTTTGAATTCATCAGCATTAAAGATCGGGTTATTAACATACTTGTGGTGCAGTTCTTAAATTCTTTGGATTATTCTTGGTGCCTTTTAAGTCTCTGCCACCAGAACCGGTGTAAGTGAAAGCTTCTCCTATTTTGCAAATATAATAAATATGTTCTAAAATTGAAGAAATAAGTGTCTTTACATCTTTTTGACTTATATGCATACCCCAATCGACATCATCCTCATACCCCTGTAATATCAGCCAAAATAATCGCATCAATAACTATAATACGTGATTGTTACAATCACACAAATATTGAAACATTATAAACTTAACCCCTGATAAAGCGATGCTCGTCGCACCTTCACCTTCATTCCACGCTATTCCAGCGACCGTCGGTCTAATTTTAAAATTAATTCACCGTCGTATAAAATCATAACAAATTGCGTAATTTCGGTATAAATTTACGTACGCATGAACTCCAGAATGGCAACACGCCATTCTTGTCGGCCACCAACTTCCAACCTCATGTCCTGGAATGTTACCGAATTGATGAGGATCCGGTCGGTTTTGGCGCCAATTTGGATCACTTTCGTAAACAGCAATTTTTCGCACAGTAGCTTTTCGTACAGTAGTTTTTCGCCAAGGTTCACCTTCGATTCCCATAAAAAGCATATCCTCACTTAAATTTTTTTGTGGCTATTTATAAATTATATTACATTGCCTATTTATTAATAAAAAATAGAGACTAGAGACTACCTCACATGGCATGTTAATGTTTGAATACTACACCTTTTCAGAGAGACGTCCTGACCTTCTCAATCTGCCATTAGAGTCACTACTGGATGCAGTATTGTTTTGGCTCTCGTTAAATCGACGTGATACTTTTCTTTTGTCGCTTGTGGCTTTTTTTCTTTTGGCTATAAAAATTGGCGGAGGTCTCTCGAGACCAAGTTCACGCAGAACTTCCTTGTTAGCCTCAATATTTGATAGCCTTTGTGCTTCATACTCGTTAACAGACATTTTTCTGAACTGTTGAAACGAAAAAAGCGAAAGTGGTATCACACTAAATAGTGTTAAATAGTTCCTAAACGCGTAACGCGTGTTCGAATCCAATATGATGGAAATTTGTTTTGATTGGCTAATCAACAAAAACTCTGATTGGCCAAAATTAAAGAATCAATTTTCGCGTCTCCGATACTTTTATGGGATTTCGTGAAACGATCTTCTTATCTTGCTCACGTGAAGTTTGAAACATTTATTCAAAAGGAAATATTATTTTTATTAATTATTGTTGCAGATGAAACAGGAGACCTCTTTTGCTTACCTTTAAAGCTTATAAAACCTATATATACTCTTTTATTAATAACCCTAATTCTAAACTCTCTAAACCCTAACTCTAATGCTAAAAAAACCTTCAAAAAATATTTTTTAAAAAAATTTTTTTAATTTTTTTATTTTTTTTTGTGTATTATGTTACAGTATTATGATTAATGGATAGGATTTTGTTTTTTGTACAGTGCAGAACACTTAGAAACGACAATAAAAATAGCTAATTTTTAAAAATTAATAGCTCATGCTACAAAAATAATATTAAAAAACAGAAGCCACTATTTTGTAGCTAAGATAATTTACTACAAAATAGCGGCCTTGTTTTTGAAAAATAATTATTTGTTATTGAGTTATTAGAGTTTAAAAATATTGTATTTTTATATGAACGATACAAAATGGGACATATAGCAAAAAAATTTATGATGAATTTTTTTATTTTATATAAAAAATATAATATTTATAATTTTAAAACAATAATTTAAATTATATTTTAGTTTATAATT